TGTGTGTGTGTGTGTGTGTGTGTGTGTGTGTGTGTGTGTGTGTGTGTGTAGTGCTTCACAGAGCCCCTGATGCTACATAAGGAGTCCTGGTGGCACAATGGCTAAGCCCTCAGCTGCTAACAGAAAGGTTGGCGGTTCAAACCCACCCAGTGGCTCCACCCGAGAAAGCCCCGGCTAGCTGCTCCATTCAAGGATCACGGCCTGGGACACCCTGTGGGGCGGTTCTGCTGGGTCAGAGGGTGTCGCTACCCGTCCAAGTCGACCCGACGGCACCCAACGGCCACAGCAACGGGGAAACCTACCGCCTCTTCCGCGTCGGCCAGCTGACAGCCGAGGAACGACGTCAGGTTGGGGAAGGACGGGCGCTTCCTGGAGTCGAAAGCCCAGCAGGACTGCATGATGAAGTATCTGTGGAACAGCAGGGCAGGGGACCCCGTGAGCCAGTCAGAAGGCCTCCCCAAGGGCCGCTGCCTGCAGAAGGGAACCCTGGGATTACGTGCAACCATCAGCTTAAGGCATCTTTGTTTGAAGACAGGGCTTCTGTCTTACACGGTGAATCCACACCAGAAATGAGAATGGAGAAGATGGGAGGGAAAGCAAACATGCTCCCGCCCCCTCCAAACAACACAAACCAAACCAAACCCCTTTCCCACTGCGTTGGCTCATGGTCATCCTGTGGGGGTCGGGGTAGATCACCAGGCCTTTCTTCCAAGACACTGCGAGGGTGGACTTGAACCCCCCACCTTTCTGTTGGCAGCCACATGTCCTAACCCTTTGCTCAATCTGAGGACTCCTGAGTGGTGGGGAGGAATGGATGTACAGAAACGTCTCAGGGAACTGGAGCCAGGAGATGGAGAGGGATCACTCTCTGGGGTCCCTCAAGCGAAGGAGGGGAGGCCTGAGCTAAGTCTCTCTGAGGAGGCCTTCTGAATGATTCATCCGGGCATGGCCCCTACCGAGAAGATGCTCTGCCCCCCAGATCTCCATGTGAACAGAACAGATCCTGGTGAGGCTAATGTGCCCCGGGAACCATCCGGGGGTCTGCTCGGGCTGGAGGCTCTGACAAAATGTCCGTCTGAGGTGGCAAGAGATTCAGCAAGGGGTCGGACCAGAATGAAACCAGTTCGGAGAAGCCCTGCTCTGAGGACGGGCGTGCGGTTTTCAATCTTGTTCATAAGTCTTCTTCCAAGACCCAACACAAAAGAAAGAGGTTTCTTAAAAGAAGTAAATATCATATGAACGTTGCACTAAAGGCTTTTCACGTCCTTTGTCGAGCACTGGAAATGAGACTGGATGTCAGAGTCCAGCCAGTCCACTGTCTGGCTTATACTTACATTTCTTCTGTGGCGTAAAACGGCTGGTCCATTTTGAACCCGCTCTGAATGAGTTTATAGAAATTTGCATCCACAGGGGTGCCGGGGTACGGGTTCACACCTGAGCAAACGGGAGAGAGCCGTCATCACTCACCCCTCGAGTCCGTGTGTGTCCATTCAGTCAACCAATGAGCATCTACTGAGAATGCCCAGGGGCCGGGCAACAGAAGTCCCTATGACTTTTGTTGTGCACTTTTCAGAAGTAGACTGCCAGGCCTTTCTTCCTAGTCTCTCTTGGTCTAGAAGCGCCACGCATGGACACCTCTTCAGCATCACAGCAACCTGAACGCCACCACTGACAGGTCATGGCTGTGCACGAAGTTCACTGTCTGGGAACAGAACCCGAGTTTCCTAGATGGGAGGCACAGGTTCTACCACCGAGTGACCACTGTCCCCAGGGAGGACATGCCAGCAAATGAGATGTGTTCATATACTATCTCAATGAACAATGGACAACTGCCTTCCTTTGCTACGAGACCAGAAGAACTGGGTGGTGCCCAGCTACAGTCACTGAATGTTTTGGTCAAAGAGCCTATATGAGAATTCTGATAAAAAGGATGGGTGGGGGGGGAATGTGAAACAGAATTTCAAACTTTCATAGACTCAAATTTGTTGGTGCCGTGGAGGCTGGAGGAACAGCAACACTACTGTACTGAAAACATCTTTAAACTTTAAAAAGATCCCCCTGAAGTTTTCTTGAAATCAGACACCGGTTTAGTTTAACCAGTAAAGAATGTCTCCCGTGAGCATTGTGCTTTTAAAAGGTCTGTTTGGGATCACACTGAGCAACAGCAGCTCAAGGGATTAGAACGCAGAGTGTATGTGAGGGGGGTCGGAACAACTTGGGAACGGAGGGTGAAAATGGTTGCACCGCTCCAAGAACGGATACATGTGGACATGGAGGAATTGGCGTAGGCTTGGCTTCTTATCTTCTCAGCAGCAGCAACAAAACAAGTGAAATTTCCAAAGAAAGAATCCGTAGGCTACAGTGGAATAGGACTGGGGAGCTGTGGAAAGCGTATTCCAGGTGGCATAGAACCCAGTGAGCAAAGTGGGGGGGAGTCAGGAGGGGGCAGAGCTAACAGGAAGTGCAACGTGGAGGGGGGATTGGGGGAGGGCGGAGATAACGGGTGCACAGAGAGGGCAGGCAACACCAACACGTACCAAGAGAGAATATTTCCCAGAGTAAAATTCCGTAGGACCAGACATCGCTCTTAATGGTGTAGATGCCTTCAAACAAGCTTTCAGGAGCCATCCACTTCACGGGCAACCGGGCCTGTGCACGACCCAAGGCAAGAGAGAGCAAGCTGAATTTCCGCACACCGCAGCCTTCGTTCTGCCCTTGAGCGAAGGCCACCCTCAGTGCTCGCTGGAAACTCACAGTGCTCCAGGGAAGGTGGGCCGCTTGCAGGTGAGTGTGCAAGTGAGTGTGCAAGAACGGCAGCCAGTAAAGCCCACGCCTCTGAAGCCCCCTCCCACAAACCTCCACGCTTGGCCTCCTCGGCTCACTCTGCAGGAGGAGAAGGAGGGGAGCCTGAGGGGGGTGGACTGCTATGCTTTCTGTGGACAGGAGGCAGTCTCCCCATTGTGCTGTTCTTCCTTTTAGTGAAAAAATAGTCGGCTTTTCCTTCTCCAGTAGGTTTCTGCCAGATGCAAGTTCCGGCTTTCGGCTCGGACTTTGCTGGACTATTTCATGAAAAGCGTTTCCCAGAAGAACTGTAGGGGTCATCCCGGGAAGATAGGGAGGGGGTGGAAGTGATCATTTCCTTTTCCAGAATGATCCCAGGTTGGCATCTGTAGCTTTAATACCTTCCAATAGCACTCAACTCGGGAAACCCCCTGCCAGTGCGCCCACTGGACTCATACTGACCCTCCCTCCGGGGCAAAGTCAAACACACCCCGTAGAGTTCCCAGGCTGAAAGTCTTTACAGAAGAGAAAGCCTCCTCTTTCTCCAGCGGAGCAGCTGGTGCTTTTGAACTGTTGACCTTGCGGTTAGCAGCCCAACTTGTAACCCATTACAACATCAGGACTCCAGGGACCAGGCCTAAGTTGTCCTATAAGGTCTCTGAGTCAGAATCGAATCAACGGCAGTGTGATAGGTAGGTTTATTGTGCCAACCTGGCCAATAGGAACATGTGGGATTAATAAGGTCGCAGTTTGATTGGAGGGCAGAGAGATAAATGGCTCGGTGAGCCTCACCTTTCCCTCTTGCTCTCTGGTGATCGACCAGTGTGCGGCTGCTTTAGCTGATTCTCTGCCTCAACTTGTGAGCTACATTACTTGCGGGACACCCAACCCACGGACTATGTCGCTAGAGCTTGAGGTTCCTTTGAGACTTGCTCCACCACACTGCTGGTGTACATATCGCTTGAGCTGGGGACTGTTGGATCCTGTCATCTGGCTGACTGTTGGTGACCCACCCTGTTGTTTGCTGCCTGTGGCCGACAGCCTGCATGCCTGGCTCTACTGTCTGCTTCCTTGGCCTTGGACCCAGCAGCCCTCTTGAGTTGAAGTACTTCCAGTGTATTAACTGTTTCACAGAAGTGAGTTGAACTGATCCCTCTTTACTCTGAGTGGACTAATTAGCTGTTATATTCCTTCGTGCTGTATATATCTATCCATCTATCTATCTATCTAATCATAAGCATCCTGGTTTTGTTTCTCTAGAGCAGTGGTTTTCAACCTTCCTAGTGCCTGACCCTTTAATACAATCCCTCATGTTGTGGTGATCCCCAACCATAAAATTATTTTCGTTGCTACTTCATAGCTGCAGTTTTGCTACTGTTATGAATTGGATGACCCCTGTGAAAGGGTCATTCCACTCCCAAAGGGGTCGAGACCCACAGGTTGAGAACCGCTGCTCTAGAGAACCCTAACACAAGTGGTGTTTTTTTTATCTGTTAGTTTTTTGTTTTTAAACGACGGGGGACAGATATCTACAGTAGTGATGACAGCAGGCGGCTTGCAAGATAGAAAATAACGGATCACAACTTATCAGAACTCGCAGCCTTACGTTGCCCCGGACGACATAGTTGGAGTCGTTCATTATGTCCCGGGCCAATCCAAAATCACATATCTTCACCACTTTCCCATGGGTCACCAGTACATTCCTGGCCGCCAGGTCTCTGTGGACGCACTGGGAAGAAGAACACCAGAAGGTTATTACCCGTCACAGTGCCAGCTTTCTCCGGGCTCCAAGTTCAAGATGGATGACAGGAAGGAAGGGCACAGTTCCCCAAGGTCTCTGATCTCCCCTGTCCCTTGGACAGTCAACAGGACACTAACACCCAGAGTGACCAGGGAGGCCCAGTTCCTCAGCATTTGTGCTAGTCTGGCCCATAAGCCAAAGGGGGAAGGATTCCTAAAAGAGGAGACCAATGGAGTTGAACGGTGAGCTTGGCTGTCATTTCGAGACAGGGCAATGCCTCTCGCCTGGGATTTCTAGAGGTGCTTTCCAAAGAGCGCCCTTTCTGTGTGTGGAGATGAGAAGCTCCTCCCTGCCTCAGACATTGCTTCAAGAATCAGATGGAATGATGTCAGAGAAATAAAAGGCGACCGTCGGGCAAGCAGGCGGTTTCTTACTGCCTTCAGAAAGGGTCCAATCGAAGCCGTGAGTGGCTTCTGAGGGACCTGCTGGGTCAGTTTAATTCCAACCAAGAGGTCAGCTCGGAAGGTGATGGCGACTGCTTTGGGGGGATCCCCAAAGGAGAACCCTGATAGACTGCCAGCCTCTGGGTGGGCTCCAGCCTTTTGTTTAATAGCATTCACCCTTTGCACAGCCAGGGACGTAGAGTGACATTCATCAGTCCAGATTCATAGAAAAAGCAGGAGAGAAAGGCCATGGTGGGAAGCCGAGGGCAGGGGAAGGAGAGGCTTGGGGGGCTCTGAGAAACGGATGAGAGGAGGCAAGTGACAGAGAGGCAATAAAGGGTAAGACGAGGAAAGGAAGAGTGAATGCGCCATCGGGGGTCGATGGCAATGGGACCCCCAGTAGAGAAACCATGAGCAGGTCCACACGCTGGGAAGAAGGAAGCCAATGACGCCAAAAAACTTGGGTCGAAAGGACTGGGCAGGAACCTCAAGTGCTCTGTGAACCTTCACCGAAAATACAATGAAATATTATTGTAAATAAAACCCCAAAACATGTTTTGAAAATGACAGTGACGACATATATACAAATGTGCTTGATACTACTGATGTCCAGACTGTTAATAAGAGCTATTAGAGCCCCCAGTCGAGTGATTCATAAAACAACCTGGGAGTAGAGCCACAGCCTGAGGCAGGCTTCCTGGTCTTACGAGGGGCCTGAGATACGGCTTGGATTCATAGTCCATAAAGTGCCCACGGTGGCTGGCGTGGCCAGCAGGATTTTCACACCCCCTCTTGCGGGGGGTCCAATGCCCCCCATGCAGTGCACCAGTTGAACATCTGTCCAAGGGGAGCCTAATGGTGCTACATCCACCTTGTTTGGAGAAGAGATTCCCAACCTTGACCTTTTGCTCCGTTTGTTTCAGGGGATTTTGGACAGCCTATGGAGTAAGGGACCCCCATGCCTCGACACTATGATTCACCAAGAGAAGAGATCATGTGCTGAGAGACCTCCACGAATGGCCAGGAGGAAAAAAAGATTGACTAAAGATGCAAGGAAAAATAAGCAGGCAAGCATAGCTGCCTGCCCCCCCCCACCACCACCACCAAACCCCCTCTCTGCGGCATCTGCCTTTCCCTTCTCCGCGGCATCCCCTTCGGAAAGGCCTTACCGACTTGATCTCCAGAAACTCCATCCCTTTGGCAACTTGATATGCAAAGCAGAGAAGATCCTCAAAGGTGAGCACGTTCAAGCCTTCCTCTTCTTCCAGCCTTTTCTGGTTTTCGTATTCAACCTCATCTGTGAAACAGAACCGGCCTTCACGTCTGTGCAGATGCCAAGAAGCCACATCTCCATAGGAAACGCTCGCTGTGGCTTAGCAGGTTCAGACGCAGAGTGGCCCTAGAGGGCAGTGTAGAACTGCCCTATAGGGTTTGGGAGGCTGCAAATCTTTGTGGGAGCAGACAGCCTCTTCTTTCTCCTGTGGCGTGGGTAGTGGGTTTGAACCTCCTACCATTGGGGTTGCAGCCCCAAACTTAAACCATCGTTTCACCAGGGCTCCTTTTATATCTCAATGGCATCAAAGCCACAGTTAGGCGAGGAGACAAGACGCGGGAGTGGCAGTGCTGTGATAGCCTGTTTACACTGAGACGCGCATCCCACGGATGGTGACATAAAGGTTTTCTGATCACTAACTACAGTTCTACCTCTACCTCATGGTAGAACTGCCCCTGTGGGTTTTCCAAAACGGAAACTCTTTCACGGGAGAAGAAAGTCCTGTCTGTCTCCCACTGAGCGGCTGGTGGTTTCAAACTGCAGACCTTGTTAGCTGCTTTGGTGAGAGATCAGAGCCCTGGGACTCAGAGGGCTAAGTAGGGTGTCCAAGTCACCCAGCTTGGCAGGGGGAGGGTGATGGAACTTGAAGTGACTCCTAAGTCCATCACCTTTCCCTCCTAGCAGGAACCAAGAGGGTGCTCACTCACTGGAAGCTTTCAAAAGACTCATCCGCCCAACGGACACCGTCCTCTTGGTGCATTAACTGAGCATTGACGTAAAACTCACTTAGACGACTGAGATAGTTTATTGTGCCAGCCTGGCCGATAAACACAAGTGGGATTAACTGAAGGGTGGGGAGATAAATGGCTCGGTGAGCCTCGCCTTTCTTGTCTCTCGCTCTTTGATCATTGGACCAGTGTGCGGCTGCCTTGCTTGTTCTGTGCCCCAATTTACAGGCTACACTATCTGTGGGACGCCTAGCCTGTGAACTGTGTCGCTGTAAGTTGAGGTCCCTTTAAGAGATCGCTGGAGCTGGGGACTGGCGGTTGGTGACCTGGCTGACAGTTGGTGACCTGCCTTGTGATTGGCTGCTGTGCTGAGATAGTCTAGCTCTCTCTATATAGAGGAAGACTTGGCAGCAGACTGAACTTGAAGGACTGCTAGTGTCTCACAACTCTCTCTCTCATGGGAGTGAGTTGCACTGAGCCATTTGTACTGCTTTATAATTTAACTGTTCATTTCTTGTATTATATATCTATCTGTATATAATTTAACAGTTCATTTCTTATGTTATATATCTAATTATCTTTATAAATAAATATATTAAATTATCAGCAATTTGGTTTTATCTCTAGAGAACCCTGTCTAACACAACGACCTTTAAAACAGTTGGTTTCCATAAAGCCCATAAACGATGCTCCAGCCACAGCCATCAAGCAGGTTCTGACTCACAGGACAGAGCAGACCTGCCCCAGAGGACTTTTCCTGAGTTCGAACTACCGACCTTGAGGTTAGCACCCCAATGGGTGGGATAGCCCACTCTGCTATCAGGGCTCGTGACCTGCACGTACACACTTTGTCAAATATCACTAGAGAGCTGATCCCAAGGGCTCAAGGAGAAAGAAAATGTTTTGGAAATGTTGATGGCAACATATGTACAAGTGTGCTTAATACAATTGAATGATGGACTGCCGTAAGATTTGTAAGAGCCCCCCCATTAAAACGATTAATAATTTTTTTTAAAAATCGCTAGCACTCAATGATGGTGTCCATTTCTATTTTGAAGTGCTACTAATTAGAATAAAACGTTACCTTCGGAAGGAAATGGATTTCCATTGAACCCCGAGACCTGATCCAAATCCTGTTGTATTTGGACTTCTCTGGAGCCAGGTATGCTATAAAACAAAATAAAAACCGAACCAAACCCATGCATTTCTCAGTATGTGTGCTCTTCCTTCCCCAACCCTGGAAGCCGGGTGCTCGAGTCTCACTTTATAACAGAGAGATAAGGCGTGGTGGGTGGAAGTGCCTCTGCTGGTCTCACAAGGCTCTTCGACGGCAGAACCTTGTCTTCTGCTCAGCGCACTTTCCCAGCAACCTTCTGGCCATGCAGCAATCCCTCCGGGACCTGCACGGGTGGGGGCGTCCTTTCCTGGGGTTTGCCTTTGGAGCGCGCAGTTCCTTTATCTGAGAAACGATAAACGTGGTTGTCGCTGTTCCGTGCCGTTGAGTCAGTGGCCCAGGCTAGCCTCGCAGTGGCTCCCAGGTGTGTGCCCAGAGTTGCAGCCACTGCGTCAACCCATCCGCTGGACGGTCTTCCTCGTTTCTGATGACCATCCTCCTGACCAAGCGCGGCGGGCGTCCTCCTTCCAGGGGCCGTTCCCTCTTGATCCCAGATCCAAAGTAGGTGAGGTGAAGTCTCTCCAACCTGGCGTCCAAGGAGCATTCTGACTGGACTTCCTCCGGGACGGATTTTAGTCTCTGTGCCGTCTGTATTCCTAGCCAGCACCATCCTCCAAAGGCGCCCGTTCTTCTCCGTCTTGCTGATTCACGGTCCAGCTATTGCATGCAGCTTGATGACAGCACATGGCCTGGGTAGGGTCAGGCGCACCTGATTATTCCATGACACCTTTGCCCTTTAACACTCGGAAGAAGCTTTGTGCTGCAGATTTGCCCGGTGCAAAATGCCATTTGATGTACTGGCTGCCGCTCCCAGGAGCATTAACTGTGGATCCAGCAAAGCAAACCCAGTGACCCCTTCGATCTCTTTGTCCGTTGAGCATGAGGTTGTCTGCTGGTCTCCCCACGAGGACTCTCGTTTCCTGACGTGGAGGTGCAGTCCACACTGAGGGCTGCGGACTGAGCTTCATCAGCCAGCGCTTCGGGTTCCTGTCGCTTTCGGCAGCAATGTGGGGTTGCCTGCAGATCACAGGTACGCCTTCCTCCGGCCCTGACACACTCAACGCAGTGCACACATCCTTTCTGATCGTGTTTCCTTCCTTGAATGTCGAGCCTTCAATTCCATTTTTCCCCAAGAACTTTTTTAAGTCCCCTGGTACAATCCTGATTAGGCACATACCACATAGATGCTCACCCACACATGGAACACGTGCCCAAGTCGATGCCTTCCTCGGGGGAAGTACAATCATGATTCCCTAGCAGTGAGGGGGCAAGACCTCATCTGATGTGTTTTGGACATGTGTCTGGGGAAGTCAGATCCTTGCTGCCAGACTGCTGTCTCATCCCACCACAGGTGGGCCTGCTCCTTGCCTCTGGGGACAATGGACAGGCTCCTGTAGGCGGAGTTTGCACCCTACTGATAATATTCCTATGGAGACCCAGAGACCAACCCCTAGACCACCCACTCATTGCTGTGTAACCTATAGTGCAGCTCCTTCTTGTGACGTATGTCTCTATGTGTAATTAGTGGGCTGGCTTGCCCCCAAAAGGTATATAGGTGTGAGTCAGCAATATAGATCTCTCTGACCTCTCTGACTCTGAGCTCCTTGCTGCTCACTCCCTGGTCACTCCCGTCTCCCTTGTTCCCTTGCCCTCCTTCCCTTCCCCCTCTCTCCACATGGACCACCAAGCTGGGCTGAGGTGAGCAATGCTGCCATGTAACCTGTCTGACTGTATTATTGTAATATCTCTCATGCTCTCAATGATTCTAATATAATACTTATATATCTCAACCATACAATTGTACTTACTGAACCCGTGGGTAGTAGTAGATTAGCGGTGGGGGCTGGCACCCTCACCCCCCAGCGCCACTTTTAATTTAATACTACAGACATGTCATCAGGAGGGACCAGTCCCGGGAAAAGGACGTCGCGTGTGGTAAAGAGGAGGGTCGGCACAGTGGCTCCGACACCGGGCTCGGACATGGCAGTGATTGTGCAGGTTCTGCAGTTCGGGGTGGTGCTTCCTTGTGTTGTCCAGAAGGTCGCTGGGCATCCGAACCACCTGGATGGCACCTAACAACGGCAGCACCCACACTGGACACGCATGGCCCTGACACTGGACCCCTGTCTTTTATGTTTCTTCTCATACGTTTGAAATGACCTTGTTGGTCACGAGACACTCCAAGTCCACTTCAATTTCACTTTCATTCCCCCTTCAGCCGTTCAGACCGATATTTAGATCTGAGGGAGCAGGGATATGGAGTGTGTTGGCTTTTGCCTTCCAGGCTTTATGCTCATCGATCCATCCATTCATCCTGGCTTCTCAAGAAGCGTATTCTAAAGGGTCACACAGCCCACCTCAATAAACGAAATCAGTAATAATATCCCGGTAGCTTCCCTTCCCCGGCTCCATAAATGACCCATCTCTTACCTGGGATTCGGATGTGACTGGAACGTGGGGTAAAAACTGAAGTTGTGATCCTTAAAAACCTCTGTCCAGGTCCGGTGAAATTTCTCTCTTTTACTCCGGAGATAGTTGAGAAGGTCGCCATAGCAGCAATATTCAAAAATCAGGTAGACCGGACCTGAAACGGGGACGGTTTTCAGGGCAGGTGTGCAAGACGCCTGGTCACGTCCTCTGACATCTGAGCCACCCCCCAGGCCGCCCAAGGGGGCTCCCCTCCCTTCTGGCTCAGAGAGGGCTTGGGGTGGGGGTGGGGGGAGAGGGGCTTCACAGGATGATGGCAAAGGGAAAGAAACCAGAGTGGAGTCTTCCCAGGGCTGTGCTGAAGCCCCGTGACATCATTTTCCCCAAGCCACCCCCTTCTTCAGCTGGATGCTCCCCCTCGCTGTTCTGCTGCCCCCTCTGTGGACAGCAGCAGCTTCTCCGCCTTCACACTAGCTCTCATTACACCAGCAACCCCTGCCCCCCAGAGACGTGAGCCCCACGGAGAGCCATGACCAATGCTCGCGTCACGGGTCCACTGCTTGTCTAAAAAGGGACACACCTGTCTGTCCCAACCCCTGCTTAGATGCCCTTTCCTTTTCGTAGCAGCTCTCTGGAAGTCTCTTTGTACACAAGCGTTCTGTGAGGGGAGAAATGCCCTTTGAGCGGGCAGTCTGGGGCTTTCTAGGTGGAAGTGAGAGAATCAGAAAGAATCCCCCCCGCCCCCCCCACAGGGCCGGGTTACCAAATAAGCAGGGTAAGTACTGGCATACTTGTGCTTACTTATGAAACTGTAGTGACCAGTTTCACATTTCTGACCACCTCGGAGATTCTGATCCTAGGCCTGGCGGGCACCTGTCTCTGCCCCAACCCCAGAGCTCCAAAGCTTCTTTTCAAATGGACAATCACTGTCAGGGACGGACTCGGGGGGCGGCAGGGGTGGGAATAGTGTGGCAAAAGTCACGTGACATTGGACACTACACTTGAGCAAGGAAGCACCAGGCAGCCCACGCTTACCTTGTTGCCTGGGCAAACCTGTCTCTGCCTGAGAGCCTGAGAGAACCATTTGGGAATCCTGGCTGGGCTGGACCTGGTGTGAAGACAGCTCAGGAGGACAGTGCCCCAGTGGGGGCCAGTCACCATCCTCTGCTGCAGTTACGCCAGCCCCCTCTGAGCAGACAGGGCCAGACACCATGTGATGTGCTGGCAATGCTGTGTTTGCAGTGGAGGTTTCTGGAACTGTGTGATGGGTCAACAGCGCCACAGGTTAAGAACCAGGACCGCTGCACTCTGAGCTTCTAGACTCAGCTAAGTCATGGCTGGGGGTCAATCCATAAGTATTGCTACCAGGCTGTCTGCTCACCACGCCGGGTTTGAAGGTGCCTTGATGAACGGCCAGGGATCTCTGCATGCTGCTCTCCTTGCAAGCCCTGGCTGCTTTACCCCCAAAGTTAGAAATGAGGGCCATTAGCATCACCACCACTTAAGGACAAAGAGGTCAACTCAATGTGCGGTGAGCCCCAGGGGGAGGGGCGGAGAAAGGCCCTAATTTCAGGTAGGTTTGTTTCACTTTCCTGATGGTTGGTTTTCCTGCGTTTACAGAGAAAAGTCAAACAAAAGATTAGCTTGTGATTTTTGAGCCCCGTGGGGGAAGGGAAGGTGTTTGCGAAAAGGCGCCTGGACTAAACCCTCTTCTTCCAAGACCCGCAGAAAAAGCAAACCCTGATAAAGTGTCCCGTCATCTGTCTGGGGCGCTTCGACCTGGGGCAGGGCGAGGGGCCTTGAAGAGAACGTGATGTTGGTGAGAGGAAGCCCTGAAGCCCTGGGGCGAAGCTGCCAAGCCCTTGGCATCCCCTTGCCCAAAGTTCTGCCCTCTCCGCCCCTGGTATAAAAACCACCCCCCTTCTTTGTTTAAGGAGGAACACCAAATGCCGTCTCCTGGCTTACACCAACTAACCTTTCTCCTCTCTAAAAGCACATCCCGGACTTTTAACTTTCATATGCGCGCCGGGCCAAGGACTCAACATGTGCGATAATGTGTTCGTTCCAAACAAAACGCGTTTGCAAGTGTCTCTGCCATCAGTGGACGGGCACAGAAAGTTCACTCAGAAGACGCTGGATTAAGAGGCTCCTTAGACGGCCTTCACAAGAGAAGGTCCGATCCGATTCAAGAGCGGCTTCTGAGGGCACCTGCCCGGCCCCTGTCATTCCAGGCAGGGGGGTCAGCTCAAAAGCTATGGCGGTGTTTATTTTGGGGAGAGGGGAGATGTCAAAGGAGTCACCTTGATAGAATTCCTGGAAGGACATGGGAAGATCATGGGGCGGGCGGATTGGGAAGAAGTATCACACTTCTTCAGTATAGATGCACGTGTGTGTGCATCTGCAGAGAGCCTGCACTGACTCTCTGTCTAGTTCCACTTGTGTCCTGGGGCACGGTGAGTGGGAACAATCTCACACACGTATTCACTGCCATCAAAGTCGATGCCGACTCGCAGCGCCCCTAGAGGACACGGCAGAACTGCCCCTGGGACTTTCCGAGACTGTCACTCTTTATGGGAGTAGAAAGCTCCCTCTGTCTCCCATGGAGCGGCTGGTGGTTTTGAACTGCTGACCTTGCAGGTGGAAGCCCAACACCACCAAGACTCCTGTGATTGAGAAAGAGAAGCACAAAAACGAGGCCAAGCATCCTCATTTTATCTCCATGCGGCAACCCCTGTGACCAGGTGGCTTTAGAAGGAAGCCCCCTACCTGACAGCGTGCACGCCCCCAGCAGGTTGACGATGTTCTCGTGGCTTCCCAGGTGAGTCATCATCTTGAGTTCTGACATGAGAGCCTCCTTTTCAGTACTGTCCGCCTTTTCTGTGAAGGAAGAGCAAACCCATGTGAGACGCAGGTGAGAGGGGGATTCCTGCTGCTGGGCACATCCAGTGCATCCATCCTTCAGGTAGAGCAGGTAGCTGTGATTCACCCAGGTGCAGCGCCATCCGTAGAGAGAAACAGAGACAGTTAAAACACACACACACACACACACACACACACACACACTCTCTCTCTCTCTCTCACACACACACTCACAAGCATGACATTCTTTTTCTTTTTTTTTGACCAATTCAACAACTTCTACATGTACAATCCAGTTCCATGATGATCCTCTTCATGTTGTGCAACCACAATTGCTCTCCCTCTCCAAACTGTTCCACCACCATTAACATGAACTCAATGGCCCCTAAACAAAAAAATCTTCATCCTTCACCCACGTAGCCATTGGCCAAGTTTGGTTTCTTTCTTTCTTTTTAAGTAGTTTTCTTGATATAATACAGATTATAACGTTTCCATAGTTGAGCCGCTTCTAAAAAGGGTTGTATATACATCATTACAATCAGCTCTAACGCTTTCTCCCCACTCCCGATTTAAAGACAAGAAACAAAAAGTTTTATTGGGACATAGTCCAAATATCATATAATTCAATAGTTGCATCTGATCAAGAAGTATTATATAATCATCACCACAATCAATTTTAGAAAGTTTCCTTTTTCTACTACTCCTTGTTATTAGCTCCCTCACTGTCCCCCAACCTCCCCTGCCATACCCCCAAGGAATTGTTATTAATCCAGCTACTGTCTCCATAGATTCCCCCATCCTGTATATTATATATGGAAAAACATACAAAAATACAAAACAAAGAGTCAAAAGAGCTACCAACAATAACAAAATAGGGGAAAACCTCAGTTGGAAAGAAATCAGAAAGATATTAAAAACTAGAACAACTTTAAAAGGAGTCAAAGGGAGATCAAGTGATACGGTGGTAGCTAGGAACCGAGTTGTGTCTTGCGTATCACACTTCCCAGTGCATTCTGTAGACAGCAAGCCAGTCAGTCGCACGCTTGGTCTGCGCCCTCGGAGGGGATTCACTGGAGGACAAGCGTGATGTTCGTGCTAGAGAAAGACAGATTTTGATTTTTGGACCTTGGGATTTGTTGGAGGGGAGATGGGGACATCAGGGAGGGCTGATGGCTAGCTCCCCAGGGAAGATCCCCCTAGCTCTGGCCCAAGGTCTAGAACCTTGCAGTGCTCAGGGAGCCCCAGCAGTGAGGAGTCCCCAGGGAGAGGAGTCTCACAGGATCTCAAGAGACCTGTTAACTGACCGTGAGACATGCACTTGCCTGAGCAGCCTACAGGGTCCGGGTTGGTCCGCGGATCATCGGCTGGAGGGAACAAAGCAAGTTGTGGTCATCATCTTTCTTGGAATCCCAGCCTGAGGGCGGGGACTGCCGAGGGGCTCTGAGGTGGTGCAAACGATTCGGTGCTCAGCTACTAACAACACTTGGTGGTTCGAGTCCACTCCAAGGTGCCTTCCAAATGGCCAGCCAATGGAGACGCTCCGGAGCACTCTAGGTCACCAGAAGTCAACGTCTAAGGATTGGTGACCTTGAAGGCCTGCCTCATGGAGGCTAATGTGGCCTCTCCGGCTCCCCTCACCCACCTCTTATGAACATGTCATTTCTCTGACGGAGGACCTTTTCTTAACACTCAAGACTTGATTCTCAGACCCAAGGTTTGGTCCTGGGAGGGGTAGCCTGGCCCTCGGGGTGGCCTGTCTAGAGTGTTGGTGTCATCTCTTCGGACTTTCAAGAGCTCATGGGAGCACTCTCTGTTCCAAGGTCTTGGCTTGGTCGGGAATGGATTCCCTCACCGCGTACACCGTGACCCACAGGGAGACGACGCCTTTGGCTGCTTCCAGTTTTATGAGGGACATGTGCGTTTTGATGGTCTGTTCTATCTTCCTCATGATAAAAAAGTAAAGTTTTATGTTTTATGGAGTGTTTAGCCTGTCCGAGGCACGTCCGCACACCATTCTTTCCCTCACTCACCCGCTGGACAAGAACTGGTGATGCGTCAGGCAGTGAAGAATGAATGATAAGCCAGACACACCCCTGTCGTCCTGGAATTTAGAATCTCCTGGACCAGGGAGACAGGTAAACAAACAGGCAATGACAACGCAGTACAGAAAATGCAAATGCGGAACAACATGCCCTGTGGCTCCCCCATGGGGTCCTCTGATGGCCTCCAGGAGGATGGGAAGAGGAGGGATAGAGGCTACTGGGGCCTGAAGAGTCATTAGGATTAGCCAGATGGAGCTACAGCGGAGTGATGGGGTGGGGGTCACTTACACATTCACAATATTAACAAGATGATGTTCTGAAACCATTGAAGGATACGGTGGCATGCGTGTATAACAACTGGTGGCACATGTTTACCACCAAGAACGAGCAGCTCAGCATTTGAAACTGTGCAGAAGTTGTGTCAATGCATCACCATTCCAGACTGGAGTTCTGGGATGGGCAAAAGTTGAGAGAGAAGAGGGCAAGGCCAAACAGACGTGGACCTGCCCTCCTGGGGACTGTAGACTAAGGAGATGGTGAAGATTTTTTGTTGAAAAATCACACAACTACATAACCACGATGGTGGGCCATTCTCTGGGAAACGAATGTAGTCATTTCTATAGGAATTTAAGCGAACAGAGCCAGGGGCTTGCACTCATTGATGGTGGCAGTTACATAATCTACTGTCAACTTGAGAAAGGGGTGGAGCCTTGCCTGTCAATCAGGCCACAGCTTGATGACCTAATTTGGAGGTACCATGGAGATAAATAGTTCACTGGCGGCCAGAAGCACTCTCTCCCTGCGAGACACTCCTGTTGACAAGCCACATGGAGCTACACTGATGGAGCCAGAGCCCTGGAACTGGAGAAGCCACATGGAGACCCAGGCTGGTGCTGGTGTGCTTCCGCTGCCACTGGATCCACAAGACTTCCCAACCACTGACTCGTGATCTTCCTGCATTCCGCATCATCACATATGTTGTGTGAGTCTGAAGAGGAATTTATAGACTGGTATTGGACATAGGAGCTAAAATTGGACTTACAGACTTGATCTGGACTGGGCTGGGATGTTTTCTTAATGTACAATGACTCTTTATATAAAGCTCTCTCTTATACACAGATGGGTTTGTTTCTCTAGTCCACCAGGACTAACACAGGGCTCCTCTGGAGGAAGTGCTGGTTAGCTGAGCTCTGAAGGAGGAGCCGGAGACGCTGAAGTGGAGGGGAAAGGGGACACAGCAGGGTCAGCTTGTTCAGAGACCCAGGTGTGGGAGGGAGCGTGGTGGTCTGGAGCAACAGAACCAGGGCCAAAAGGAGAAGAGGAAGGTGGCGGCTGCTCCGTCGGGCAGGGCTGGGGAGCCCCTTTCCAGAGTCATTGGGACTCAGTGGAAATTCCGAGTAGGACACCACATGTCTGCTCTCATGATCACTAGGCCCTGTGGTATTAGACAATATGCTATTTGGTAAGTCGATATCAGACAAGATCTGGGTGGGGGTGGGGGTGGGTGGGCACCTTATAGCCCTTAAAGAAAGGAAGAAAACTACCCAACCTGGTAGACTGGTTGAGACCGGGTGTGTTCCAGAAGTCTTCTGCTTTGGTGAAAGCGCGGACACAATTCTGACCGGTTTTGTTTTAGACATTATGTCACCATGTTGTATACACTCATGCCACTGTGCCTTTAGATCACGTCAGACTGTCATCTTGTGAAGACGTTGACAATAGGCTGTGTGTTGTTAGGGACCGTTGAGTCCGTTCCAACCCACAGCGACCCCGACCCCGTGCACAACAGAGGGAAACACGGCCCGGTCCTGCGTGTCCTCACCTTGGTGGCTGTGTTTGACCCCGGAGTTGCAGCCACACCGTGCCAGTCCATCCAGTCACGGACCTCCTTTTTTTTTTGGGGGGGGGGGGCTCCCTCCACTGGGTTCCCATGTCCAACGAGTCACCAGAATGTTGGAAAGCCGGTGTCCTTTCCCAGGGACGGGTCTCTCCTGACAGCATGTCCCAAGTGGGTGACACAGAGCCTCGCCATCCTTGCCTCTAGGGAGCATCCTGACCATACTTCTAAGATAGACCTGTTTGTCCTTGTGGCAGCCCATGTCTTTTCAATAGTCTTTGCCAGCACCACAGCCTTTGAAAACGCAGATGTACCCGAAGGTGATCATTTGTACATGGTTGAATATTTACGTTAACCGGTTGTAGATTTTTTTTATAGGAACCCTGATGTGTAGGGGTTACACACTGGGCTGCTAACCACCAGATCGGCTGTTCAAAACTACTAGCCGCTCCTCGGGAGAAAGATGAAGCTTCCTGCCTCGTGAAAAGAGTGATGGTCTCGGAGACCCCGGGGCAGTTCCACTCTGTCCTATCGGGTGCTATGCGTAGGTATCGACTCGATGGCAGAGTTGGGATGTTTCTGTTTGAAGCTCTTTGATATTAAACTTAGTTATAACAACAATAACAACCTAAAAGACTACGGCCCTGAGAGTCGTCAAACTTTGATCCCAAAATCACCCCTGAGGGTGCTTTGTAGCTACATACCACACTGCTTCCTGAAACAACGCCCCTGGTGCATGAATGCTGCGCTCCTTACGAACAGCACCAGACCAGGTGAGATGAGGAGGTCTGAGGGCGGGGAGCCCAGGTGGACGGCAATGACTCCACTGGGCCGGAAAGAAAGGGGACGTCATGCCTGTGAAGGCGACAACCAGCCTCCTTGAACGACCGTGTGAGGTTGTGGAGAGGGACCCTCGGTGGCCGTGCCTCACTGTCCTGTCTAGTCGCTCCTGTTGGGCTCGTTTGCTTCTTTGCTTCCTGACTGTGTATCAGTTATGGACAGAGACCCCCAGCATCTGTGTACACCGCGTCTGGTCTTGTCTTTGCCACTGGTTTGGGTTGTTGGCTTGCGTATGCCTTTCTGTATACGAAATCCAGGGTAGGTAAGTCTACAGAGACAGTCACTGATTGATAATGGCCCTGGGGCCTGACGGGGGAGGGGGGGAAATGGAGGGCTAAGAACAGTGAGCATGAGAGGCACATGTCTGAAGCTGTTTGTAGTGATGATTGCACAAATATTAATACAGTTGAGAGATTAAATTGTATGCTATATGAAGCATATGCCAAATAAAACTATTTTTTAAAAGAAACATATATATTTATTTTTAAGTGGTTTCATTGGCATGTCATTCCCATATCCTGCAGTTTAGCAGTTCAGTCACAGCAAGAAGGGCTGTACAATCCTCACCACAACCAGCTTGGAACAGTTTCTTTACTCATCGTTATTAACTCCTCACTCCCCCAACCTCCTGCCATACCCCCAGGAACCAGGAACCCAGTTCCTGTCTCTATAGACTACCTGTCCTGGAGGTCATATACGTACCGGAAAAGGCCACATTGAAAACAAAACAAAATAAAAACGAACAATAACAAAGTGAAGCCGATTAAAAACTTCAACCAATACTAAAAATAAAAACTTCAATCAGAAAGAAAGCTGAAAATATTAAACACTAGAACAGATTTAAGAGGGATCAACAGGGAGATCAAACGATAAGATGCTAAATTTCAGCACAGCTGCATCTGGAACACTCCGCTTTCCACATCTGGACGAAGGCACTCCGCAGGCTCGCGAGGCTGCTCACCTCCCTGCTGGGTGACCAGAGGTGGAGTCCCCAGGGCCTCCATCCGTGTGTGCGGATTTTTAAGCAACGGCCCGTGGGCAGAAGCAGTGGGTGGGAAAGTGGGCGCCAGGGTGGCACCGTCCTCCCGTACTGTACCTTTCAGCATTTTGACAGCAACTTGGATGGAGACTCCCGTTTTACTAATCCCATAGGCCGTTGCATTCATCACTCTCCCGAAAGCACCTGATCCCAGCACCTTCCCTGCAAGACGAAAGGGAGGAGAAGAGGAAGAAGAGGAGGGAGAAGGAGGAGGAGGAGGAAAGAAAGAAGGAAGGAAGGAAGCATGAGTGCTTTGAAAAGGCTTTCCAGCCAACTCTGGGGAGGCGCTGCCTAGGAAATCCGTGTGACCGTGTGCTCTTACCAAACTCCAAATTTTCTCTGGGGAACTCCCATTTGAGGTCGTACTCGAATTCTCGGAAGTCGATGTAGAAGTACTCGTTGTCCAAGGTGCCCGTCACCTGGACCATCTGCAACTGGCTCTCATACCGAAACTGCTGCCGGGATGAAAGGACGGGGCCCCCGTGAGGCGCAGGGACTCTGTCCGCCCACCCGGGCGCACCGCGTGGCGCTGTCCTCGGCGGTTACCTTTCTGTACTTGTGATACAGCAGCACGGTCAAGACCGCAATGAAGGGCACGCAGAGCGCGACGGTGATGTAGAAGGAGATGTTGTCCTGAATGAAAGGGAAGGGCCCTGCAACAAGAGGGAGAGGATTCCCCTTGGGGTCACACAGCGCAGGACGGCCCACAGGAGCCATCATTCCCAGTCTCCGGAGGACCGCCCTCTTCTCGGTGCCCCGCGGGAAATCCCAGAATGTTCGCATAAAGGGCCCGTTGAAAGCCTAGAAGATTTTCAGTGTTTCTAAACACACGGGGGAAAATCCTTTAGAAAGCTTAAGTACGTATTGCCAGGTGAAAGAAGAGAGCCTGGAGAACTAAACACGGTTCAAGTCCAATTACACGGCCTTCGGAAAAGGCCATCTATAGAGGCAATGCAAAGACTAGTGCCTGCCAGAGGCTGGGGGGTGGGGGCTGTGTTCAAATTTGCTAAAATGCCATTTTAATTCTTTTTTAACGTATTATTATTTTTTCATTTTAATAAATCATTTTACTGGGGACTCTTACAGTTCTTATAACAGTCCATATATCCATTGCATCAAGCACATTTGTACATGTTGCTCTCATCATTTCCAAAACATTTTCTTTCTACTTGAGCCCTTGGTATCAGCTTCTCTTTTTTCCCCCTCCATCCACCACCCTCCTTCCCTCGTGAACCCTTGATACTTTATACATTGTTATTATTTTCATATCTTACACTGTCTGCATATGGGTCTCAGAATTATAGCTATTGAGATTCAGACACTACCCACTGCCATTGAGGTGATTCCGACTCACAGTGACCCTGTAGGGCAGGGAAGTCCTGCCCCTGTAAGATTGTAACTCTTGACAGGAGTAGAAAGCCCATCTTTCTCCCTCAGAGCAGCTGGTGGTTTCAAACTGCTGAGCTTGCAGTTAGCAGCCCCACACATAACCACTACACTACCGGAGACTCACAGACACAAACCAGGTGAAAGAGAAGATGGGGTTCCTCCTAAGAAGATCGATGGATGTGGAGAGGTTAGCTTTGGAAGGCTGGTGATTCTAAACTATGAGTGTAGGCAGCTAAGCTTCCAAATTTTTCAAGACAGCTCTTAAAGGTGTTTGTTTGTTTTTAATAGGACAATGGGATCATGGGAAATAAGGGCAATGTTGGAGATCCAAATCCTTTGCTGTTTCTCTCGGATTTAGCCTTTGAGCTGGTGGTGCTGGGTGTTTGCAATTCTGCCACGTGACCTCAACCCACGGTATAGGAACACAAGGGGAGTTTCCCTCTGAACTACAAAACAGTTCCCATCAGTGGGGCTGACTCTTGGTTGGCTCCAAGGCCTTTTCTTTTTAAATCATTTTATTGGGGGCTCATATAACTCTTATCACAATCTATGCATACATCTGTTGTGTCGAGCGCAATTGTGCATTTGTTGCCATCATCATTCTTTTTTTTTATGTTAACCTTTTATTTTTTACTTTGTTTGTGTTTTTTTTTAACGTTTTATTAGGGGCTCATACAACTGTTATCCCAATCCATACACACATCAATTGTGTAAAGCGCATTTGTACATCGTTTCTCCATCATCATTCTTAAAACATTTTCTGTCTATTTGAGCCCTTGGTATCAGCTCCTCATTTTCCCCCTCCCTCCCACACCCTCCCTTCTTCCCCCTTGAAAATTCATAATTTTTTTTTTCATGTCTTGCACTGTCCAATGTCTCCCTTCACCCACTTTTCTGTTATATGTCTGTTATATGCCAAGGAGGGGGTTATATGTCGATCATTGTGATCAGTTTCCCCTTTCTGCCCCACTTTTCCCTTCCTCTCCTGCTATCACTACTCTCATTATTGGTCCTGAGGGGGTTTATCTGTCCTGGATTCTCCAAGCCTTCTTTGTGCCCCACACTAAACTGCCATTCTCTTGGGCGACCGCCCCAGTGTAAGCCCACAACAGACACTAACTGCTCAGTGGGGGGGGTCACTCCCGATGGTACTGGCAGGGGCGCAGTGGCCGCCGTGGTCTACCTGGCCGGTTCAGGAGGATGCTCTCACAGGAGGAACCCATGGAGTTGTAGGCGCAGCACTTGACCAGGGAGCCCATCACCGCCTCGCTGATGTTGAGGGTGCTGCTGGACGCCCACTGTCCAAACACTCGCCTGTGGAACTTTTTACTCCAGACTCCTTCCGTGATGTTTTCCGTGCAGCTGAAAAGGCACGGCAGACAGAGACGTTAGCGGGGTGGGTTGGTGTCCAGAGTGGAAACCCGGGTTCCCAGAGCACACGCTATGAGGAGATTCATCAAGAGACAAAAGCCAGGGAGTCGGGTCCTACTCCTAGCAAACCCTACCGGACAGAGCGGAGCCTCTCCTTTGGCTCTCCGAGGCCGCTATCTTCATGGGCCAGAGAGACTCGTCTTTCTCCTAAGGAGTGGTCAGTGGGCACGAACCGCTAAGCTTCTGGTTAACCCACCCCCCGAAGTGCTGAACTCGCTGCCCCACCACTCCTACGTGAGCAGACATCAGCGATACACCCTTGAGAATGAGCGATGGCTCGTTTTAAAGGTTGCATCCTGTCTCCTTGAACTGTGCTAAGGAGACAGAGCCACGACGCCAGGGAGCGTGTGAGTTTCCCGCCCTTCCGTTCATGGCAAGAGCAGCCAAGGTCCCGGTTACTTGGGGGACTGTGTGGAGCACTTCTTCCAGGTCCAGGATGGGAGTGGGTATCCATCGGAAGAGCAGGAAGCCTGACTCAACGAGGCCTCGGCCAGCACTTGAGGTTTCCCTGCGGAGAAGCACAGGGCAAACTAGCTCACGTAAGACGGAGGATGAGAAATGACAGCCGGATACTCAAGGCCACAGGATGGGGGGGGGGAGGCGGGAGGGGGCAGGGGACCCTTGAAAACATGGCGCGGAGCGAAACCAGGCAGACACAAAAGGACGAGTTATGTTTGCTCCCACCAGCATGGGAAAAACAAATACACAGGAAAGATCGCAGCTGTCAAGGACTGCATTTGGCTTGGCCCCACCGTCGATGCTCATGGAAGCAGGGAGCAGGAAATCAAATGACATACTGCAGACTTGCTCCCCAAGACCTCTGACGCGCTGGAGAGCAAAGGTGTCGATTAAGAGACGAAGGTGCGTCTGACCCAACCATGGTATTTCAGTGCCCTCTGAGGCAGGTGCATGCCGGGCAGTGAATACGGGAGACAGGAGAAGAACAGAGGCCTTTGAATCACAGGGCCAGGGAAGCATATTGACCGTCCACCGACTGGACTGCCAGAAGAACAAGCCTGTCAGTCTCTTCACAGCTTGACCTCATTTGTAGGTGCCACGCAGATAAGTTGCTCACAGGAGGCCAGATACGCTCACTCCCTGTGAGACATAACTAAATGATGAACAGCATGATGGAGCTATGCTGATGCAGCCAGTGCCCTGCAGCTGGAGGAGCCACATGGAGACCCACGCCAGGTGGGAGATGCTTCTACCACCACTGGATCCACAAGACTTCCCCTCACTGGCCAGTGATTTTCATGCTTTCAGCGTCATTGCCTGTGTTGTGTGAGTCTGAAGAGGAATTTATAGCCTGGTATCAGACATATGGGCCAATATCAGAGTTAAGGACTTGGTCTGGACTGGGCTGGGATGTTTTCTCCACATTCAATTGCTCTTATATATAAAGCTCTTTCTTATACACATATGAGTGTCCGTGAATTTGTTTCTCTTGTCAACCCGGACTAACACACACCCCTAAACTGTAAGAATGTAAATATCTGTTTGCCTCAGCCAACTACTTGTATTACTTCAATTACAGCAGCACCTAGGCACTTGGTTCGGTAGAGGGTTGGGGGCAAAAAGGAAGACCCTTGGCGAGGTGGACTAGCACACTGGTAGCAACAAACGCGGATTCAAATGCGGCAATGACTGAGGATGGTACAAGACTGCAGCGCTTCGTCCTGAACCAATGGACGGTACCTAACAACAACCTAACCACCAAACATGTATTAAAAAATGCGCCCATGTAGTCCGGTTCTCTTGGGAAATGGTTTCCATGTGGACCTCTGGTAGCAGTGGCCCCTTCCCCCAGGGGAGCTGCGCTCCTGACAGCTGGATTAGGGAGTTGCTGGTGAATATTGACAAGGTGACAGGGTGCTGGTTTGGTTCGGTCTGTCTCCGGATTATCATTCGTCTGTTGTAGGCCTCGCTCGTTTTTGATGACCCTCTCCTTGACCAAGCACAACGGCCTTCTCCGGGCTACCCCTTGAGAGCACCTCCAAGGTAAGCGAGAGGATGTCTCGCCGTCTAGTTTTGTTCTCTTCTTCTTCCCTTGGGCGATGAGATCATTACAGGCAGTCCTCGCTGGGAGCCCCCCCTTCCCACTGCCAGGTGGTCCTGGCTGGAGGTGTGGCCCTCATAGTGACCTGCACACCCCAATGCGACTCTTAGCCCGAGAAGAAGCTACCTGCAAACAGACCCCACAAAATGTACTCTCCTCTATTTATAGACCAAAAACACGATGATGAAAACACTCAACCGGTGGCACTGTGGCCTTGAGCCTTTCCCTAACCTGACCTTTCAAAGGGCTAGAGGTCACGATAGCCCCAACACTAAAGCACCTTCTGGAGGGCGAAAACAGAGCGAGACAGGAGCCCCCCAGCCAGTGGCTAGGAGAGTAAACGTGAACACATGGAAGAAGCATTTGCAAACAGTTCTTGCAGCACTTCCCCCCAAGCCAGCCCCAGCCCTTTCCAGTTGCGGCTCATCAAGAATTCAGAAGATACCAAGCAGGAATGAACCTGTCTGATCGTTTACACTTACTTCGTATGTGCAGCGTGAACCTTTTGGTGAACTGGGCATCATCATTTTCAGCATGGAAGATATATTCTCCTGCCTGGTGCCTGTGGTCGCAAAACTTCGATACGCTGTTTGGAAAAGAAGGAGAAAGAGCGACAGGCTTAGCCGTCTGCTTGCAGGAGCTGCTGAACGAGACAGGGTCCGTTAAAGGGTCTGCCTTGACACATGAAACCACTCTCTGAAGCTCAAGGAACAAGGAGGTACCAACTCCACAGCAGTGGATTTGGTTTGGGTTTGGGGTGATATGTACTTCGACGTTGTTAGATGCTGTTGGATCCGTTTGGACTCCTATGGACCCCAAGGGACTGATTAGAGCCATTCCATGGGGGCTGTAGCTTTTAAACAAACAGATGGCTGGCTGTCCCCCACCGCCACCCCCACGTCTCTGGGTGGGTTCAAACCACCCCACTTCCAGTTAGCAGCCAAGCCAACCAGCTGCACCTCCAAGGTTCCCTTAGAGTTCCAGGATGAAACGACCGAAGAACGTTCAAAGTTCACATCGGGAAGTTCAGAGCACACACACATGGGGTTGTTCTGTAGCGTAGGTGGAGTAGCCGTTATGCATGGGCTGCTAACTGCATTGTCTGTACTTCGAAACCACCGGCCGCTCCAAGGGCAAAAGTTGAGACTCTCGACTCCTGTAAAGAGTGGCCGTCCGGGGTCCCCACAGGGGCAGTTCTACCCTGCTCAGGAGGGGCTCTGTGAGTCGTCGTCGACTCCACGGCAGTGAGTTTGGTGTTGGAGTTTTATCTAAGGTTGGGACCATGGGGAAGGAGAGGGAAGAACAAACCCAAGAGGCACCAGGGAAAAAGACCCCGCAGAGGCTGGGTTGGAGCTTGATCCCCGAGTCAAACCACACCGCTACAACTAGTGACTGAGGCGGGGGCGGGAGAGGCTAGGGATCCAGGGTGTTCAGAAGTCCTTAGGTCTGAAAGGGAATGCTCAGTGTGCCCAGCGAGGTGCCCCCGGTGGTGCAGCCATGAGGCAGTTGGCTGCTAACGGAAAGGCTGGCAGTGGGAGCCCTCCGTGGCTCAGAGGGAGAAAGTCCTCTCGATTGGTTTCTGTAGAGCTGACAGCTTGGGCACGCCCAAGGGCAGCTCTACACTGTCCCCCCAGTGTTTTGTTCTCATTTGCTGAAGGAAGAAGGAGGAGGAATTTCTTTCTTTTTGGGGTGGGGGTGGGGAGCGGGGATTAAAACAATTTTTATTGTAAATTAGGTGGGGATTGACATTTCAGGTCACCATTT